CAACTTTTGATTCGGTCAACCAAGGAAAAATTCACAAGGGCAAGCATGGTTCGGAGGTTCCGTTCATCCTCCCGATCCTCCCATCCAAAGCCGCTGTCAAATGAGCCCAGACGCAGTTCAGCAAAGGTTGTAGATTCCGGCCCGGTTTGCCGCTTCTCGCTCCCGTTGAACCGACTTGGGGTTGTCGGAATGCTATCCCCACATCCAAACACGTTTGTATACTGCGAATGTGGACGCGAGGTCGTTGTGGAGCCAGGTTCGGTTGTGGAAGCAGCCATGAAGACCGTTGCGGAGAGGAGCACGCAAACCACACTTCCGAGCCCTGCACCTGTTATGCATGACAAAGCGGTTTATTGGCAAGGGCTCAACGATGTAGATAGTCAGGCAACTCCGTTCTCCCAGGAGACTTCCATTCTCACCATTCAGCCATCAGTTATTCCTCAAACCTGGAGTGTTAACACAATGTCTGCCTATTCACTGAAATCAATGGAGCCAGTTGAGCCGTCAGAAACGGTCAACGATAAGGTATTTGGGTTTCCTTAAGTTCTCTACCTCTGGCTCTCATACATTTGAATTTGGCACCTCTTTGCACGCGTTACATTGAATTTCCCTAAGCATACTGTGCCCTAGGGTTTTTAGCCAGCGCCAAAAAGCATGCTTTCTCCAATTTTCTAGATCGTATTTATTTCCCCTCGAGTGAGTAGGCATTTTAATGACCACATTGCAAGACGAAATACTGACCATAAAGCCCAGTTGGCGTTAAGACCACACTGCTTTTGTCTTTGTTTTTTTAAGGTTTAATCCCTTGTTACGATTGTCGAGAATGTATGGCAACTCAAACGTCCCCTTCTACGTCCTTTCTGTTCGTCACCTGATGGCAATCCGACCAGATACTAGTGTAAATCAAATAAACCTGCAATGAATCCGCTCTCTAGCCTTGCTGGTCAGTATTAATGCCAGTTTTGAAGGCCCTGAATTCAGGTTAAAGTACCGACGGTTGACATAAGTAGTCGGAGTCGACAAGCCCTGGTGACTGTCCGACTCCTTCCTATGCGATGATTGGTATAGTCAACACCAATACCAAAATGATAACCACACAAGCGCCAGGCCTAAAGGCATGATCACTAAAACCATTTTTATTTGCCAGACTCAGGAGCTGACGAAGTGCCCAGCTTGTCTGTGGACCAATAACAGATTAGCACGCATCTACTTGGCACTGCAGCTGCGGCCATCTGTTGTTTCTGAACGTCGCAAACCAATCTGTCAGATGTTCCCATTCTCAAATCCGCACAATGTCTTCAGCGATTGCCTTTTGTTTGCCTGTTTTATCGTTTGAAGATGGGATTGTTGTACATAGCCAGGTTACAATAATTTCTAATGGACTTGATCCCGTGTGACCTTTTACAGAGTCCGGGTCAGTGTGAATCGCCCCAAAGTGCACTGAAGGCTACAGACGTCCGAACGACTCCTCAAGTACACGCGGTAGCCGAACCGCTCAGTTTGTCGTTGGACTCGAGGATCACAACGCAGACCGCCATCACAGCATCATCCCCTCACGACCCTTCCCACTCCTACTTGTCTGAACCTTCTTCCTTGGTTCCAGAGACACCTCAGCTGCAGCCAGCGCTCCAACCGCCATCTAGGGGTTCGCTTGCTGATAGCAGTGTGAGGGGCACTGAAAATGAACTGGATGCAGAGAGCTGTGAATTCATGCCTACTATTGTAAGCTCTACTGACTTTAGGCTTATTTACTGCTGGTTTGTTACTCACTCTGCGGATTTTAGTCTGCACCTAGACCTTTGGATTCTAGCCAAAGGGGTTTTTACATGTCCTTCCAACTTTGACTGTCGTGGGGTGTCAGCATGTGGGATTCTGCCGTTAGGGGATACAAGCGAGGTGCGAGTTGATAAGATATAGAAGCGATCGCTGAAACAAAAGCCTTATTCACCTGGAGTTTCGGGCTCACGCTCAAACGTATCATCAGAGACGGTGATAATTACGGGTAGTTAGTGCACAGGCAAGAAACATCTGGAGTCCTTTGCCGGATCTGGTGCAGCTATGAGACAGCAACTACGTCAGAGAAACTCAACGACTGCTTCGGACGCGAATCGCCGAACACGCGGCTTCCGTGTGGATACATGATGCCAACCCCCAGGTCGCGGCCCCTTGAATGAGACCCGACCCAACATTCAGGTTCAACGAGACCGAAGTTCTCGCGATAGGTGACAATCACATGAGCCGCGATTTGCTTGGGTCATTTTTCACGGGGCCCAGTTTATCAACAATTGCAATGACACCCTCACCCATATTCGGTGCCGAAATGTAGTCTGGCCAAAGTAATTAGCCACTTGGGGGCTTGCAGGCCGGTGAGCCAGGTGGCTGAGCAATCATCACGCCACCATCCCTCAAGGGTGATATAACTTCGGCACCTCACAACTCGCATGCCGACCATCAAGCACTTAGCCCACCAGCGGGCAACAATTCTTGATGAAGGGGAGAGCGGTTAATTATCAT